TCTCCTCACTTGCTCAGACAAGCACAGAATTAAAATCTCATTAGCACCTATTTTCTTGAGCAACTCTGAAACACAAATTCATTTTTATTTTTAAACAAGGTGTAGATCTTACATTCAATGCAAAAATAATTTACTTAAATTCTTTGTATGTTTTCAGAATTTTTTTTATCCAGTTCTTCAGATCTCCTATGGGCACTTTCTACACCTTTTATTTCTTTTAATTGAAATGCTCTTTGGTAACCAGACTCAATTACAACTTTACTTGCCAGGTCTATAGAGGCAGTACCACTACAGGCCAGGAGCCATTACATCAGGTGCTTTAAGTCCTTTAAAGTTCAGCAGGTGCTAAGAGGCATAAGAAACAAAAGATATAAGCCATAGGAGCACTCAAAAGAACTGAATGAATCCTATGGAACTCATCAGAAAATATCAGTTGTCAGACCTTCAGTAGCTATCAAAAAGCCATGGCTTTGAAGAAAGTAATACAATAACAAACATCTAGTCCACAACAGCAAAAGACAACATGGGTGAAAGAAATATGTTCAGCTGCAGGTTCTTATCCAGCAATTAGTTTTGGATAATTCCATCTTTGTATAAGAAAAACAGACAACATTATTACTGACAGCCCCATCAGAGATGATCAACAGACACAGTCCACAGAAGTCCTTAAGTGCTGCTCACATTTCATGAGGAATTGAGATGATCCGAGCAATGGAAGGAAACAGGTAAGTGACATCATCAATACGACAGAAATTATACAAATACATTTTGGTGAAAGCAAGGTAATATTGCATTGTACAGAAAAAAAATGAAACTTTGGCAAAACAATATGTAACAAATCAGAAAAGGCTGTACAGAGTTTAAGTTACAGTGCTTTCCTGTTCAAGAGTATACTTTTATGTGCTCGAACAGTGACAAGTCCAAGGTGTGAAGCTCTGGGGGAAGGTGGAAATCATGTACAGAAGTCAGCGGTGATGCCCAGGTATAGAAACTGAGCAAAAAGCCCAACAGCACCCAGCAGCTCTGTGCACAGGTACTTTGCTATTTCTAACAGATGTCAGAAGGATGAGTTATCAATTGAACTGCTTAAGCTACCCACGTGTGTTCTGCATATTTTCCTGTTCTTTTTATGCATATAAAAACTACTGTATTTTCTTAGTTCTGCAATTTCTGGAAGGAAACGTTCTTCACTGCTTTATCAAACTACATTCACAGCTTTTTACATACAACTTCATCCTCCCATCCTGCAGCCAGGATTGGTCTGGTCCTTCTTCTGATAAGGAGATGAGTGCAGAAAGTTGAACTATTAGCTCTAGCAGTGGCAGACTACACTCGGATAAATGGCTGCAAAGTAAATGCTGAAAAAAGCAGCAGTCTTTGTTCTTGGTCAAGCCAAAAAGACTGGAAGGGCACAGAAAGGACACACCAGATAGATAACTGTTGCTCAGCTGAAATGAATTGTCAAAAGAAAACAGTAATCTTGTTTCTGTCTTGCATCAGGTTACCTGGTAATGTATTTCTTTTCCTTCCCTCACACTTAAGTTCTACTGCAGGAAATCTACACAGTACACAAATGACTGGTTTGCACATTCAATGCTACTCACTTCCATCAATCTGAGGCTAATTTAATCCAAACTGATGATCATCCATACCTCTATCTATAGGCTCTTGGCTCACAGCTGTAAACTATTTCCCTTCCCTAACTCTAACCACATATCTGGGACTCATGGGACTTCACCATAATCACATTCAATATACAACTAGTTGGCAAATTGAGCAAAACCAGAACATTTTCCTCTTAGATTGTCTCAAAATATCTTAGGTACTGCAAATATCTGAGCAAAGGAAGCAGAGGAGCCATAGAACAAAGAGTTGGGGAAAAACCAAGTCTTTTCATTTCAATGATGGTAGGCTCTTTTTCATAGAATAAAATAACTGAAGAAGTAGCATTACTTGTCGTGAGACTCACTTCATGTGAGTCTCCAGCACAACTCACTGTGGTAAAGAAATACCACGGCCTGTTCTGCAAGGTTTGTTTATTCCACTGATGAACCTGAGTTGCTGCTTTGTCTCAGCTACACAAGCAGCCATCAAACTCAAAAACCTACTTTAAGCTTGATGATTTGCTATTGTGAAACATTTCAGACCAGGCTCTTTACATTTTCTGGGTAAAGACTTATTGTAAATTACTGTAAATGTCCTCTATCATATCAATGAGCTATGGAACAATCCAAAGGCTTTCAGCAGAGGGATCTCAGTTTTTATTACTTTACAAGAAAAAGAAATAATGACCGTAAAGAAACTAACCTTTTCATAACCTGAAATCCAGACCTAGTAGACATTAGACTCATTATTATTCCAGTTTGATCTATCATCAAATAAAACAAACATATACACAGCAATATCAAATCCAAAGATACGGAATGAATAGGTGTGTGTGAAAACAGGCGTATTTACGTACCACTGAGTGGTTAAAATAGCTAATGCTCATTCAATACTTCCATTTCACATCAAATAAAGGGAATACAGAGGGTCTAATTTGACCTTAACTTTTAAGGACATTTTGTCAACATTTGTACAATCATGTTACTGTCCTGCTCTCACATATTACAATAAAAGCTAGAAATATGTCAAATACTGGGATCTTTAATTACTCAGTGCCTTTGGGCAGCAATTACAATTGAAGAGACTGCAAAATAAGTCTGCTTGACTTCCAGTTATTTCAATACTTGAAAGAAACAAGAAGAGGGCAGGTTTTGGAGCAAGTGATACTCATTCAGTTCCTAACAGATGATGTAACTTGTGCATATGGTCTTTTATAGGCTTACTACGGTCCTTAATGGACTGTTTCATGTGTGTCATGAAATTCACAGAATCACAGAATCAGAATCACAGAATCACCCGGGTTGGAAGGGACCTCAAGGATCATGTAGTTCCAACCCCCCTGCCTAGCAGGGCCACCAAACACACACATTCAGATCAGGTTGCCCAGGACCCTGTCCAACCTGGCCTTAAACACATCCAAGGACGGGGCATCCACAACCTCCCTGGGCAGCCCGTTCCAGGGCCTAACCACTCTCCTTGTATAGAACTTCCCCCTAACATCCAACCTAAATCTTCCCTCCTTCAACTTCGATCCATTTCCCCTAGTCCTGCTGTTGTCAGCCCTTTTGAAGAGTTTACTCCCCTCGTGGGTGTAGGTTCCCTTCAGGTATTGATAGGCTGCAATGAGGTCACCCCGCAGCCTTCTCTTCTCCAGGCTGAACAAGCCCAACTCCCTCAGCCTGTCCTCATAGGGGAGGTGCTCCAGCCCCCTGATCATCTTAGTCGCCCTCCTCTGGACCCTTTCCAAAATCTCTATGTCTTTCTTGTACTGAGGGCTCCACACCTGGACACAGTACTCCAGATGGGGCCTCACAAGAGCCGAGTAGAGAGGGACAATCACCTCCCTGTCCCTGCTGACCACCCCTCTCCTGATGGAGCCCAGGATCCCATTTGCCTTTCGAGCTGCCAGAGCGCACTGCTGGCTCATGTTCAGCCTCTCGTCCATCAGGACCCCCAGGTCCTTCTCTGCCGAGCTGCTCTCAAGGACCACTCCTCCCAGCCTGTACGGGTGCCTGGGGTTCTTCCGGCCCAAATGCAAAACCTTGCACTTTGCCGTGTTGAACCTCATTAGGTTCACCCGAGCCCAGCCCTCCAGCCTGTCGAGGTCCCTCTGAATGGCCTCCCTTCCTTCCACCGTATCAACCGCACCACTCAGCTTGGTGTCGTCAGCAAACTTGCTGAGGGTGCACTCAATTCCCTCATCGATGTCATTAATAAAGATGTTAAAGAGCACCGGTCCCAAGACAGACCCTTGGGGGACACCACTTGTTACCGGCCTCCACCTGGACATAGAGCCATTGACCACCACCCTCTGTCTGCGGCCTTTCAACCAGTTTCTTACCCATCGGGTCGTCCACCCATCAAATCCACTTCCCTCCAATTTGGAGATGAGGATGTGGTGGGGGACCATGTCAAAGGCCTTGCTCAGGTCCAGGTAAATGACATCAGTCGCCTTCCCTTCGTCCACCAATGCCGTCACTCCATCATAGAAGGCCACAAGATTAGTTAGGCATGACCTTCCTTTGGTGAAGCCGTGCTGGCTGTCTCGGATCACATGCTCATTCTTTATGTGATCGAGCATGTTGTCCAGGAGGATCCGTTCCATGATTCAACACAATTTAATGAATTTTGAGTAATGAAAAAAAGATTTACTCTGTAATTAGTTTATAAATCAAGTACAGTAGAAAACTATTTCTTCCTCCCTACAGTTCTATAAGAAAGGTTCCTTCTACCAATAACAACTTTTGGATTCTACATAACCGTACTTGAAATGGAAAAAAAAGCAAGGCAACTGCTTTAAAGGCAAAGATAGTCCTATGCCTTCACGTGTGTACAGAATCATAGAATCACCAATGTTGGGAAAGACATCTAAGATCATTCAGTCGAACTGTCCTCCTGTCACCAATATTTCCCACTAACCCTGTCCCTCATTACAACATCTAAATGTTTCCTGAAAACCTCCTGGGACAGCAACTCCAGCACCTGACCACTCTCTTGGAGAAGTATTTCCTAACATCCAACCTAAATGTCCCCCCCAGTGCAATTTGAGGCTATTCCCTCTAGTCTTGTTGCTAGTTACACATATGACTTGTAATAACAGAACATGCATTTCTGTACTACACAAGCACTCATAATTTTTCCCCCTTGCACCAAAAAGGATGTCTTATATTTCAGTTGCACAAGCATAACTGCTAGAGCACGCTACTGATCTTCCCTTACTGATAAATATCAGAAATCCCACACAGTTCCCTTCTATCTCCACAGAAAGAGAGTTAGGTTTCTTGAAGACGAGGAGAATGTACTCTTACTACAGTTATATTTAACATAGGATGCTTTACATAAAGATGTAGATATCACACAATAATCTAACCTCATTAATTTGTGCACAAACTTACCTCTAAATATATTGATGGTGGGTTGTGTTCTCCTCCAAACTTGTCTAACAGCGCTTCTATATGTTCTTGTGTTAATTTAATCATCTGTTTGATATTCCACACCTAAAATAGAAAATTAAATATTTTAACTTAATTAAATCCTAGACAGTCTACAGAATCAGCCCTAAACCAAAACAATCTATATTTCCTAGATATTTAATAACAGAAGCCCATTAAAAAATATTAGGATATCAGGTAGAACATACAATGCTATTCGGATCATCCACTGTCAGTAGCATACAGCTTGCTTCCCTGATACAATAAATTTGGTTTTAAAATTCACAAACCATTGAACAAAAAACTTCTGATGTTCTATTTTTTATGTTTATCAAAACTATATTAAGTACTTTTCTTGCAAGGCTCTGTAGTATGGTAGAAGTTGGGTTACAAAGTTTAGTGGAGTTCTTTTAAGTCATAAGCGATCCGCGTCCACAGCATTCACATAATCCAGACCTAGTGTTTTATTTCTTGATCATAAGCACTTCCTATAACGTGAATTGTACATTGCTCCACCTTGCAAGTTGTTTTTTCTTTTTAAATGAACTTGGATGTGATTTGAAAGAGACAGTTACCTGCTCAGAGAAGACATGGAATTGCAATATGAAATAACTCAGGTCATTACATATTTTTCAGTGTCTTCAGGACTTGGAGGCTAGTAGAGGGAAATAACACTATGAATTCTAATCCTAACACCTATAAGGGCACCAATGCACTATTCAAATTAGGTTAAAAAAAAAAAAAAAAAAGCATTACACATTTAAGCAGCTATTTCAGCCCAAACAAATTCATAAATTTACTGGGGGGAAGAGGGAGAAAAACAGAAGAATTACTTCCTCACAGCTACTGCTGGTCAGAAAATTCATTAAAAAGAAAAAACAAAAAATAAAATATTGTAAAAAATTAATTATTATAGACCAAGATAAAAATTATAAATAAAAATACAGTGCTTCTTCCAAGGGAATTTTAAGGATTCCTATATATCTTTTAGTTTAACTCATACCTATTTCATGAATTATAATATATACATACTCAAGACTGGGTCTGGACATACAAATCATGACAACTTACCTCTTCAAAAAGAAGATGCAAGTACGTACCAATAACAGGGACCAACTCAAGTTGGATCAATACAAGTTTTACTAGGCAAAACTTGAGATGTTCACTCAAAATGCAGAGCTCATATGCTACCTGGGTAATCAAGGTGATGCTCAACAACACCAACTGCCTGCCAACAACGCGAGGTCTCACTACCTTGCTGGCTGATGCCCAGCAAGCCTTTAGCAGCAGCCACTCCCCATGGCTTTACAGCCTACCGCATGTGGTATGGAATAACTCCTGGCCTAATTTAGGAACAGCTGAACATCAAACAAAGAGTGCGATACTCAAATACTCTGTAGGTAGATTCTCTTAAAGCAACTGTCGAAGTCAGCTTCCTTCTCAACTTAGAATCAACGTATATGTTGAAACTAGGATAGCTAATCAGCAGCTAACAGCAGAATTTCTGCAGTTTGCTAACGTTTTTTTCAAAGATGGCAAGAGGTGGGCACATGCTTGGTGAAGAGAACGAGCTAGCATTAGTTCCCCATGTCAATTAATGTGTTCAGTGCAAGAGTTTTTGATGTTTGGTTACTGCACAAACGTTAACATGCCATTAACCTCACGGTGTATACAGAAAATTTATGTCAAACTAAAAAAGAATATCTCAGAATAAAGGTTTCATTGCTATTTTATGCAACTTTTCTTATTCACTCTGGCAACTCTACCCACAGAAGTCACCCTCAACATTTATTATACCTTAATATCAGTAACTTACTACACTTAATGTCTGGTAACGACAGGGAGAGAAGATGCTTCACCTGCCAGATGAGTTTTCAAATACTTTTTTTGAAGACTGAAAATCAACTTCTTGGCTCATAGGTTATTTTCTACTCTGTGTGAAATGATCAGAATGTTCCCTCACACAGAGAAGCTACTGAATACAAAAATAATTGTAACAAAGCCACAATAAAAAGCACATAGGAAGTGTGCTACTGAAGAAAACTCAGCAAGAAAGTCCAACAGCCTCAAACAGAGGGCAGAAATTTTCCTGTTAAATTATTACCAGGACAAGAGCAAAAAATTAATGACTAACAATTTTTTTTTTTTTTTTTTTTTTTTTTTTTTTTAAATTTTCTGCCAGCTACTGGACTGCACCATCTGAAGAAACTGAAGTTTAAGTCATATATTGCTCAGAGTGGCTGGAAATGGTGCCCTGAATTACCTACTGTATTACCTTCTGAGCACTGAAGTAAGAGCCTTTCACAAATGAATCTTGCAGGGAAACAGCATGGATTTCTATTACCTTAGAAAGGCAACTCATAGTTAGGAGTACACTGAAATTTATCAAAGTCAGCCACGGCACTGAATCATTACTCGTTGCTCACAGAAATGGAAAACCTATCTTAAGTGCCTTATACATCAACAGTCTTTTGACAAGCTGGAAAGCTCTCACAAGTCTTGTACCGACCAGCATGCACTAGCCGTAACCAGGCATGCATAAGAGCATGGGACACAGCAAATTTCCAAGCTTCACAATTTCCCTGCACATGATAACTAGTACTACTTGCATAAAGCTACCTTCTGGCATTCTGTATCAGTGAATATATTTATATACTGTTATTTGTGTCCAGAGCATCCCTCATCTGGGTAGTTAATTCTCCTTGAGACTCAACACCCATGCATGCATACTGCATTCTGCTGCGCAGGACCTACAACAACTCCAATTTAATTGAATGAACTTAAACCTTTCTCTGACGGGAGTTCAGGCCTGCTGCCTGGTGCAAGTTACCTGCTGTGACACCAAGATGTCTGCTTCTGCACACAGCACCCCTAACTTCCTCCTCTCAGGAATTAAGCCATTAAGGGCTGCACTTGCACAGCCAGCACTCTCCTTTCCTCCTCGTAAACTTGCTTGCTCAGATATCCTGCCCCAATTCAGTCTGCATCATGCACAATCAGAGACAAGAGACTTTCACATACCATGTCCCCAGCATACGTATCACACAGATGTGGAGTTTTACCAAGAGCAAGAGAAAAATAACATCTACTCTTTCTCAATGGCCAGCGGATTCGTGCAGTTTTCTTCTAGTTCTAGAGAAGGCGTGCACAAAATGCAGATAAACGGATTATTGTAAAAAAACTACTGCCAAGTATCTTGCAGAAATACAAAACCTGTTGCCAGCCTAAGAGAGGTGCTAGAAACACTGATGTATTCTGAAGTTGATCTGCAATGCACACAATATTGTCCATGTACAAGTCCAGCCACAACCCATGGGAAGCAGCATGGTTGTTTTTTTTTTGAGACACACTGTTTCATTACAGCTCCACAAAAAAGTAATGAATCCTTTACATCTAGGATAACCTGATCTTTTTATTTATTTATTTATTTTAAAGTCTCTGTCTTCTTTGGTAGCATTAGGTTAAGGTTATTCTCTATCACGAGATGAGATTTGATTCTCCTTTTAGTGCTGCTGACAGAAAGAAGCTGACAGAGGCTGACAGGGATACAGACAGATAGAAGACTGGAGATATTCCAGACACTCTGGAATACATCAGCTTGTATCTGCCCACTGTGGATAACCGTGCATTAATTTCACAAATAAGCACTCTCTTGCAATGTAATGAAAAGATGACAACCTATTTCAAGCCAGAGGCAAGTCAGATACATAGGAGCCCAAATCCATTCTATTCAGCAAACGCGACAGCTCTGCAACTGAAAGACTGTAAGCCATAAAGTTATTTTTGCATTCTTTGCTGCTTGTCAAAATATGTACTGCCCAAGAAAGCACAAAGTGAAATGTCTTCTCTACCTTTTGCAGCTGATATCAGAACTCAAACCTTCAGCACATCCCAACTCTAACCTCCACATTCACATTTGGTAGAAGACACCTGGAAGTTTGAATATATTCCATAAACAACAAAAAAAAAAGTCATTCTTTGCACAGAAACGGTATGTCCTGCATTTGGATTATCACAATTGGCAATGATGGATGGCACTTTAATGGGACAAAGCAGCTATTGAAGAATTTGATTTCAAAATGGCTTTACAATGAGGACAGAATTCATTAACACCTCTCCAGTACTGTTCTAATCGGTCCCTCCAGGCTTCTTTCTCACAGAATCCATGCAATTGTTTAGCCTTCTGGGCTAGTGCCCACTTGTCAGAAATTGCTTTTAGAAAGCTGTCATGTCTGAAGTCATTCTTAGATGGACTTCACTAGCTTGAAAATGAAGGATTGGAGTTAAGGCAGGCGAGGGGACACAGCAATGGGACTAACTCAGAACCCCACCTTAGGGTGCGCACAACAAGAGAACTTGCATTTCCCCACATAATGAAAAACCACTGCTGCCCCTTTCTCACATTTTGGTATCTTCTCCTGAAATCTGTTCTCCACTCAACAACCCAGAGCAGTGCTAGCACTCTCCCTTCCTCTTACAAAGCCCACTTTCCCTGTTCTGCATTCATACACCGGAATGTAACGTGCACATAGAGTGAGCAAGATAGTCTTCCCTTCGGTTCTAGCTTTTCTCCATCTCTCAAGAGAAGCTTCTCCTAACTCACACACTCTGCTCAGTTTTGCATTTTTCTTGCTCTGACAGCTCCTTATGCTTATCATATTTTCTGTGGTGTAGAAAAAAAAAAAAAATCTAAAACAAGCATGATGAAAAACATGAGCAGAGGAAAAATTTCACTGAATCAAAAACCAGCTTGCAATGAGATTCACACAGGATTTTATAGAAGTGACAAATGCTAACACAGAGACTGCCTTTTCTAGTTTATCTTGCTGAATTCAGTACTCACATTTGCAAATCATTTCACTGTGACTCCTATAAAATGTCTGAGAAACCAACTTTGACAGTGTATTTTCATTGCCAGTTAGCTAGATAGTTCAGAATGAGTCTGTGGAAATTTACACTCACAGGAGAGTAAACAAGTTACAGACATTAGTATCTACAGACATTACTGTAGCCAAGAGAAAAGGTCTCTTGTTCCACAAAAGTGGAAAAATATCCAACTGTGTTTA